AATTTTCTGCACCCTGCTTTCAGTTTCAATATTGGTGCTGAAGGGATGCCGAGTTACTCACCAATGTGTTTTGACAGGACTTTGCTGGTCTGCATGGCCACACACAGAATTCCTAATGCGAAGACATCAATCATCCCAAAACAAGTTTTTTTTCTCCCATTGCAGCTCAAGGCTGTTGCAGACAGACTTAGTGAACCTCAACAGCAGTTTCAAGTAAGTCACCTTATTCTCAAAGGCACACTGTTAAGGTCCTGCTCTTTGCTTCTTTTGTTTGGAAACCATGTTACGCTATGCATGCATGACCAAAGAAATTTCTTTTTGTTGTCAATGCAATCGGTAACTATTTAGCTGTCAGGACTCAGGATACTTCTGAGAAATGCCCAAGTGTTCATTATGTTATATCTATTGAGGTCGTCTGATTTCTAGGCACTACTGCTCTCACATAATACAACAATGGAAGCATACATAACAGTGTCCATGCCCCAGCTAAAAGAAGGGACTCTATACCACGCTTCGAATTTTTTCAGCCTGTCAATGCTCACACATAGAACTCAACTATTGAGCACCCTTATCTGATATAAACTTCATTGCCCATACAAAGGTATATAGGATCAAAACCATGGTGCGTCATTTACATAAGTATGCTTATTGCTTTACTCTGCTACATACTTCTACAAATTTTAGTTTACTTTAGTTGTAATTTTCTATGTGTATATCCAACTATGTCGGTGTTGAAGCTCTACCTGACAACTATTTGTCTTTTGGTTGCTTCATATATAAGTTGTATCTGCAGATACAGATACAATTGGTGTTGTGACGAGTTGTACTCATGTAAGACTCAAAAAGATCAAGGCAGGACCAAACCCACTTTGCAATGTGCATCTTGTTGATCAAAGGTATATTGTTCAAAAAAATCATATGGTATATTTTCTGCTGCAATTAGTAGATTGTTTTCTATAGAACTTCTTTTATTGTTGTTCCCTTGATTATAATACTGCGGACACACTGTTCTGATTGCTCTTTGGCAACAAAGGGCTCCCAACTTGAATGTTGAATGCTATATATATGGACATGGCATCTTGTGAACCAGTCGGTTTCCTTTTTATTAGTCAGGTTGCATGTTATATCTCAATTTTTCAAGTGTGGTGGACAAAAATGCTCTGGTAGTAGGCACAGGTGGAGGATCCATGTCACCTTTTTCGTCACATAAATTTTCCATACACACAGATAGTAATTCCTGTCGCTTCTTTCATTTCGCTGTTCCTCTTACTGAACAGGTATGTATCGCCTTTCCATCGTTGCAGCGGAACATACAGTCCCGGCAAACGAAGCGGATCCATGTACCACACAGTTGGTTTCCTTCGATAGAATATCTGAAAATTTTACTTGAAAATACCGAACAGTGCAGTAATTGCTTGTGACGGTGGACCTCGTGCGTTCTTGCCAACCCAGATCACAACTCTATGAAAGACAGTTGGAGCTTCAGCTCAAGAATAGGCATCATCTATCAGGTTCATACCATTTGAGGCGTTCTAAACATGCCTTTGCGCTATTTCCCTCTGCATTTTACCTCATTTTTACTTTGCTCTATAGATTTAGATATGTGCCACCAGTTCCCTGTCCATTGCCATTGTGACAGCGATCCACTAGCCAGCCTGTGTGCTTTGAAGGCGATAAACTGTTTCGTTTTCACGCTCTATGGATTTTATATGTTTCTGCAGGTTCGATCGAGACAGAGATGCCAGTGGATAGCTACATAGGTAACCTTAGTTGCACATAAGAACTTTCCTTTGTTATGTATGAATTTGTATAGCATATACATTGTTCTTTTTGAAGATTGTAAATATAAGCAGCATATCAATGCATTAATAAACTTGGAACACGGTGCTGTATCAATAGCCTCGCAGCATATCAGGGAAGCAGAATCTTTGCACGTGTTTAGCTTGCACAGGGATAAATATGAGTTCCATTTTTTCATATGAGTTATTATATATTTATATGTATTTCTTTCAAGTGAATTTTTTCATTGGATGTGTGTTCATGCCTTTTAAATTGATGCCCCTAACATGACCTTCCTGTCCTGCACTGAACATACCTGCTACTGAATTTGCCACTGACCCCTGTAAGACTGCTACTCAGAATTGGTACCCATGTGTAGGACCATAGAGGATTTCCTGATCTAATCTAATATGTAACCCTTGTGGCAACATTTTTCTCAGGTTCTTCATCATGCCCAACTCAGCAGTGCCCTTGTGAGTCTGCAGCCCAACAATGGTGGCCATTATAATCAGCGACGATCCATATGTCATATTGCCTTTCGTCACATATTGGAAGACCATTTGGTGTCTGTATATGTGATAGAGTGCATGCATATATATGCCATATATGTGTACTCCAAACGATTGTACTATGTTTTAGTTACGGGCTACGAATTCCTTGGCATATTGCCTTGACCATGGAATTCGTAGTCCCTGGGACATCATTTCAGTCAATATAAGATTTCCACCCTTAATTGTTTGCTTGCCCACCACTAATCTATAGTTCTATCTATTACCAGGACTATTATGTTATTGGTATTAGGTTCATTTTTAGAAAACCTCAATAGGTCATTATGGTACACCATGATGAGACAACATGTGGTTACGGGCACTTTTTTTTTACGGGCGCAGCGGAGCGCGCCTTTCGTCCTAGTAAATTATGAAAGCTGCCAAGAGTCCAGACTGTGAGTCACACTGTCTTTTGTGCACTGCTACCTTTGTGCACAATTGTTAATGATGAAGCAGTAGGTTGCACAACAAAGCAAACCGCCCAAAAAGTAGCAACATGAAATGGTTCCTGAGGACTCTAGCAATTTGCGATTTGCTTTTGAGGACTAGAGCAACATGCAAATTGAGGGCTTAGCAACTGTACCTCTTGTCTGATGACTCACTAACCTATGTGGCGTCACTTCCACACTGTTTAGTTAGGGGCACAGAAGCAAGAAAGGTTCAGATACATTTGGTCATGTTCATGTTATAGAAGAGATGATACGTACATACGGTGGATGCAAAATACACATCAATAATGGATCAATCAGTGAAGAAAAAGGGTAAAGTGGTAGCCCTTTTCACCTTGTACACCCCGTGGTTTGAGATTGCCTGCCTGCCTGCTAGCGTACAAATTGCAGCTCAACAACCCTCGAGGTCGAGGTCGAGGCACGCACGATCACCAGAATAATTCAGGGTTGATTAGTGCTAACGTGGCTGCGAAGGCAGGTTAGCTAGCCCAGATTAACCAAGCACACGTCCCTTTCTCTTTGCACACTTCCATTGCTGAGATTCCGGGAATCCAATCACGGTTTCGTCGTTCTCTCCAGGTATCAGGTCGAGTTGTACCGCACACAACTGACCGCACGAGGCGTGCATGGCATTGGCACTGCCTGCCCTGCCCTGGACGGAAGGGGCACGACAGCGCGAGCCCTTTCGCCGCGGCTTTCGTCGGTGGACACGGAAGTCACCAGGGATCGGCCGGGCATGTGCCCTCCGGCAATCGGTCGAGCGAGCCCGGGATGTTGCGTGACGCCCGAGGCTCATCTGTCTGTCGCCGTTTCCTTTCTTTCGCGCGCTTGGCTCCACCTCGCTTTCACTGTCCATGGACTGGAGCAGCAGCTGAATGCCATTGCCATCGTAAGCAGAGCAGGGCAGGGCAGCCTCGCCGTGCTGTTTTGCCCCGTTCGTTTGAACTTATCAGCCTTAATCATGATATAATATTTTTCTTTTACAATAAAACAGCACCAACCGACTTATCCGTCGAAAATATCCAAATAATCTTCACACACTGCCTGCCTGAACCTGAGTGCCTCGTCAAAAACGTTGTCGTATCGATGCGCGTGGTGTGCCGTGTCGTTCGTACACAGCATTGCATGCATGTGGTGGTGTCTCTGTGCAGCCACGTCTCGCTGTAGATAGGGAGTGACGTGGTGCAGTAGGATCATGCCGGGCCCGACGAGCGGGCGGTCACCGGCGGAGAGAACGAGGGATGCGGCAGCTCTCCGGGACCTGAACTGACGAACGCGCTCTCGTCCCTTCCTTGAGATCTGAGATGATAGCACTCGAATTCGGTGTTTTGACGAAGCAGCAGCTAAGTCAGTTGTCAGGCATGACAGTTGAGAGATGAGAGATCTGAATTCTGATGTTACCGCGTGTTTAGTTCCACCCTAAATTCTTAAAAAAGTGCTACAGTACTCATCACATCGAATCTTGCGATACATGCATGGAGCATTAAATGTAAACGAAAAAAAAACTAATTACACAGTTTGTTTGGAAATTACGAGACGAACGTTTTGAGTCTAATTAGTCCATGATTGAACACTAATTGTCAAATAAAAATAAAAGTGCTACAGTAACCCAAATTCTCAAATTCACCCAACTAAACACGCCGTAATTTGTGCTCTCACTCAGGTGACCTGTGACAAGCAAGCCTCTTCTGACCACTGATGAGAATGACTAACCTGACGCAGTCGCCCTGTGATGGGAAAGGTCAACTTTTCTTTAAGAGGATGAACTTTTTCTTTTTGATGAGAGGATGGGAAATGTCCTTTCTTTCTTTTTTTTTTGAGAGGAATGGAAAATGTCTACTTGAGGAGAACAGTTTAGGACTATACTCGGATGGGCAAATGTATACACGGGGCGCTGGTATGTGCATGTTAAGCTGGTCTCTTGCCATTTGACGCAGTGGATCTCCAGGCCATGCTATCATGTTTCAGCCCAGGCCCAGTGTCATTTTCAGTCTATTTCAGCCCATAGGCCCAAGCAGCCCGTCGCCCCAGGTAGTAGTAGCAAGTGCAGAGCTGCTGCTCGCAGACGGCATTGACGACTGGAGGATTTTCTGCTGGATGTGATGCGTAATTTTATCTAAGTTTTTGTTTAAAGAGAAACAGCCACGCCAGTCTCCGCGCCAGCAAATCTCACCTCCGGCTTCCACTGCTCCAGCCAAGCCGCCGGAGACGTCAGACATCGGAGATGGCGGGGAACCTTCACCTCCCCGTGGTGGACCTGGCGTCGCCGGACCTCCGCGCCGCCGCTGAAGCCATCCGACAGGTGACTTCTCTCGACCCCCCAGACTTTCGAAACAGAACACCCCGAAAGAGATTACGAGCTTATTTGATGGCTGGGCAGGCGTGCGTGGAGCACGGGTTCTTCTACGTGACCAACCACGGAGTGGACCGCGGCCTGCTCGAGGCGGTGTTCGCGCAGAGCAAGGGGCTCTTCGACCTGCCTATGGAGGAGAAGATGGCGCTGCTGAGGAGCGCCAACCACCGGGGGTACACGCCGCCCTACGCCGAGAAGCTCGACGCCTCTTCCCAGTTCGTAGGTCGGGTATCTCTGCCCTCGCCTGCTCCTCCTCTGCACACCCACCTGGTGTTGGGATTTTGGTCTCAACACCAAAATATGACCGCTGTCGCTTAGCACATGACAGCTGCTTGAAATTGTTGCTGGAGCACCTGACTGATGCAAACTAGTACTCGTAATTACAAAACCGACAGTTTTTTTTTGGTTGTTGTATATAATGACTCACTGGCTGCCATAGCTAAAACTGAACTGAACCATAATAATACTGTAACAGGACTGTTTCTGTCACAAAACGTGTTGTGGGTTGAGGAGGAATTTAGGCAGAAGCGTGAAGGAATTTTCATGTAGCCCTGGTGATAGGCAGAAACGTGTAATAGGACACTTTTCCCTGGTGATAGGCAGAAGTGTGAATGAATTTTCATATAGCCAATCTTTCCTTTGCTTCAGTTATCTGATTAGACTGCGCATGAATCTAGGAGCTATGTGTAGTGGCCTGAGGAAAAGTCCATAAAGAATGGACAAATACTGAAGAATCCATTCTGCACATGGTTTGTAGTTTGAAGCTACAGCCACACTTCATAGATTTCAGCATTTCTTCTGCTCCTTGCAATGATATAGTTGAATCTGTCAGGATATTTTTTGGAGCTTTTCTCTCCTCCCTGTAATTATTCCTATACTGAACTCCCTGTAATTTTCTTCTGCCTTCCTTAATGAAACAGAAGCAGATCTTCTGCTAAAAATACGCCTCATTAAAAAAAAAAAGACTGTTTAATCTCCTATTGATTTCTGAATTTTGATATATTATAGGAGACCTCAAGGAGAGTTTCTACATTGGGCCTATTGATGATGGTGATATGCATAATGATGTAAACCAATGGCCTTCTGAAGGTACTTATCTGCTTTGCCATCTCTTAACATCTGATAAGTTTTCTAACTGTCGTCTTGCATTATCTAATTGTCTATGGACGTCATGCATATGATCAGATTCCATTTTATGCTTTGAACATTTGCTTCTTTATCTGGATATCTGTAGAGCGCTTGCCATCTTGGAAGGAGACAATGAAGCTATACATTGCAGCTGTTCTGTAAGTATTAGAACGTTCCTCAAGACAAAATAAAGGTTTTGTAAGAATGTTTGTGTATTTTTAAAACATTGACGGTGTTGCTTATTCCCTACTAGGGATACTGGCACAAGGATACTCTCTCTAATTGCTTTGGGTTTGGATTTGGAAGCTGATTTCTTTCAAAAAATTGGTGCATTGAACTGCCCGTCAACATTTCTTCGGTTATTGCATTATCCAGGTTATATTATTCCATTTCCTTCTATATCATATGAAAGCATCAAAGTTTATTCATAAGATTATGAAATGGTTTGCTACACTCTTGGTCTTGCTTTTTCACCTGTTTGTTGCTGATAGCCTGATAGGTTCTTGAATGGCTTTAGCTCTTCAATATGCATTTTTCGTACTGCCATAAATAACTATAACAGAGAAACAAAAACAAATGGAAGTCAGGTGTTCTTTTTCCTTGACAGCTTAGCAGATTTGTTGTATAAGAAAATGTATGGATGCATATGTTCCTACAGAGTGTTGCTTGGCTGGGTTGGATCTAGGGTGCATAACTAATGTTCCCAATAAGGTGCTGTTTGGTTGGGAAATTGAGACTGTAAAGTAAATGGTATCTAAAGGTATTGGTAATGGGAACAAATTAAGTGAATACTGACATTGTTCTTTGTAGCTCGGTAGTGGAAGTAGGCTGCAGCTAGGAGAAGAAACAGACTACTTGAAACAACTCCGATTTCCGCGAAGGGAAATCCACAGAGTCGAAGTGTAATAAGACCGTGGTAGATCATATTACCCAAATTCCAGTCGGACATCACATCCATACAACGATAATACCAGAGTACAAATAGTGCGGAATTACATAAATTATTACAACGCCGCATTGGCGGTATCAAAAGTAGCATTCATTCAGAACAGCTTGAAGATAAGATCGCCAAACTCGAGCGTAGGCACGAACCCCTCATCCGTCAAACTCTTCGGAGCTATACTCCTCAGCAGAACCTGTATGCCAAAATTTATCAGTACGATTTGTACTGGCCACAACCAACCCTATGAGCATTGCTTTGTGGAAATTGGATGCAAGTTGGATATAATAAAAAAGGAACCTATAAGGCTGGGGTTTCCTATGTATTAGCATTTCAGGTATATATTAACAGTTGGTCAAGTTTTAACACCATTCCCACACCCATTCCACCCCATTCCCATTCCAGAGCCAGGAGTCGATCCTGGGATTGAAATACCACCATCTCCACACCATCACCATACCACTTCCATACCATCGCTCAGTCGACAGGCCAACTCCCTCTCGGCACTGTCTCAGGGCCCGTAGCCCCTGGCTACGTCCGAACACTCACTCCCAGGGGGAGAAAAGAATGACCCATCTCACTATCTAGTTTAAGCGAAACTCAGGAAAGGTTCATAGCCGACGAGTCGGCATATGTATCGATCGATCAACCATACACTCTGCAGAGGTTTTACATAACCACAAGATCCGCCTTCCTCGCTGACCGTCGTCAACTGGGCTGATTCCGGCCGCTTGCTAGCCTAGGATAATGCCACTCTACCATTCAGCCCTGGTACACCCCAAGTCCGGTCTGGGGTGGCTGAAACTGTGAGTCATGAACCGGGTCCACAAGGTCTCCATGAAGTCTCGGAAGGGTGTGGGGATCCTCCGCACCCCGTACCTCCCTCACACTGTCCGCTATCAACCTAGCAGTAGTGGCAATATCCTACCAAGTAGTCCGGCCGTCCCGCACCATATAGGGCGAGTAGTACGTAAGGCTTCCTGGTGAATCTGAGTACTAGTAAGTTCTTAGGGATGACCAAGCCAGAATGTCTTCATCAGGGTTTCTATTTACCGTGCCACCACAGCACCTCCATCCCGGGCTCCTCCCATCACAAGTTCACACCCAGGGTCACCTCATATACCATTTACCCACCATAGGTATCCATTTCCAGGGGTGCCCAGGTAGCACCCCGCGGCAAGACTTGCCCCAGGCTCGTCGTATACTCCAACTTGGTCGACACAACCCTCATCCTCCACACACCCAAGTCACACACTCAACACTCTCCCCATAGTCCAGATAACTCCAGTTTCCACCACGCATTAAAGTAGTATAAGCGTAGTAGAAGTGTAAGCAATGATATTTAACAGTAAGCGTGTGTCTAGCCTAATAGCAGGGTATGCAGGGGTAAGGTTACGTCAAGGTAAAGGCCATCAAGTAAGCATACTACCATGCAAGTCCTATCATAATATGATTATAGCAGTAAGTAAAGCAATAACAGTTCTATATTAGCCATGCGTAATAGGTGCTACGAGATTGGGTGGGATGTGGCACCTTCAGTGTAGTCGTCTCCGTACTCCTCACGGTACTCACGATCCTCGTCCGTCTGATTCTCCTCTGAGTCTGCAAACGATCGCATTACGGTCGCGTTAGCGACGTCTATAGAATGGCACAAAGAAGCAATGGAAATTCAAAAGAGCCAAATGTACTCAAACATGGGTTCATTGTGTAGAGCTCGATTTTAGATGAATTTTGGTCCTGGTTTCGTATTTTTCCGAGGTCGTATGAATTAGTTATGAATTTCCGAAGATTAAATCTATTTCTGAAAATGGAAAAAGGCTGAATTAATCACTGGTCGACACGTGTCACGTGTGGATCGGTCCACGTGACATCCGACGTCAAGATGACGTCGACATCACGGTTCCGAATGACAGGTGGGGTCGGTGACGCGTCAAGATAGCGTCTTCAACGTCATCCATTCCGGCTGTGGGGTCGAGGCTATTGGGTCACCGGCGGTGGGTCGATCAAAGTCACCGTCGATCAGCGGTCGAAGTCAGCGACGTGTGGGAACTGAAATTGACGGCGTCGGCGGTGATGTCGCGTGGCGTCACCCCCTGCGGCGGCAACCGCTTCGGCGTGTGGGTCCCGCGTGGCGACGCCGCGATGTCGTCGAGATCGACATGTGGGTCCAGAGTGTCCGTGCCAGCGACATGTGGGGCTAGGTCAGCGGTCGGCGTTGACCGATCAACGATCAACACGGATTTGGGTCTCAAACGGGCTCCGTTTAAGCCGGGTGGGGCGGGCCGGGCGGACACGTGGCAAGCGTAGGCGTTGCGCACGCCACGGCCGTGGGCCTCATCGGCAAATCCCACGGCCCATGGGCGTGGCTCACGGTGGACCAGAGATCTTTGGTCCATGGACCGCAGACAGTCTCTGGTGGACCGAGTCCACGCTCCTTCTCTCAGGCGCGGTCCTTGTGCACCGGGTGCACTCACGGGTGGCCGGCGAGGGGGGTGTTCCCCTGTTTCTCCATGGCGGTGCTCCGCCCGTGGTGAGCTCATTGTGAGCCTCCGTGGCGATCTTTGGTGTCCAAATGGGAGGGAAAGGCTTCCCCCGCCACAGCGATCATGATTCGGGGTCTAAGTGGTGGTGGGGCCTTCAGGCGTTATTACGGCGGTGGCGGTTTCGGCAGTGCTTCGCCGGTGGCGAGGTCGCGTCTGCAGTTCTCCGATGGCTAAGTTTGGGCGAGATGAGGGCTTGCGGTTCCGTGGTGCGCGATTTAAGGCGCCCAGGCTCAAGGCGAGGCTACGGGTTCTGTGTGGCGGTAGGGACATCCCGTGCCACGGCGATCATGAAGACGACGACGCGAGGCACGCGGGTGCGCTACTGGGGCTCCGGTGGGGGGGTGGTCACGGTGTGGTCGCGGGTGTGTGCGTGGGTGCGTGTGTTTCCAATGCCGGAGGCGGCCTTGGCCTACACGCTCCGTGTGTGGAGCGCCATGGCGAACAGAAGGTCCGGCGGCAGGAGGAAGAACTGGGCTCACCGTTGGTGTTGAGTCGAATGGATAGCGGTGCGATGGCGGGTTGTGGCGTGTAGCTCCGGATGCCGCGTGCAAAGGCTGCGTGCGGCGTTGTGGCGTCGTCCTTGCTCCGGCGGCCGGAGGTGCTCGCGTCGGTGGCTCCTTCTTTCTCTCCGCCCCTTCCTTCTTCCTCTCTTGGCTCTCTCTTGGCTCGGGTGTGAGAGGTAGCCACAAGGTGGCGGCGGGCGTTGAGAGCTCGGGCGCTAGGGCAACCGAGGCTGAGCTTTATAGCCGAGCACCAAGCTTCCATGGCGGACGGTGATCGATCGGTGGAGAGACGGGCGAGGCATCCTACGGTGGCGCGAGGTTGCATGGGCGTGGCACCAAGGAGATAGGGGCAAGCCCCGGGTGTGACCCCCTAGCCTGCCCCTGCTAGTGCTGTCGGGGCTCGGTCGAAGAGGGGAATCAGCGTGAGCGGTCGGGGGCGTGGCGTGGAGAAGATGAACAAGAGGGCTGACATGCGGGGCCTGTGTGGCTGTGCAAAAGTGAATGGAGGGCGACGCAGGCGTCTTTGGGCAATTTGGTGGGCCGGGGCGTGTCTTTGGGAAGACGGAAAAAGGGGGGTTAGCGGGCGGTTGGTGGTGGTGGTGGTGGCAATGAAAGGAGCCGAACCTACGAGGCCTTCTTCTTCCCTTTTTCTTTTTCTGTTTTATTTTCCTTCTTCTTTATTTGAATTCAATTTTTGATTTTTAAATTTGGATTCCAAATTGGTGCACCAAATTCATTGGAGTTTTGATATGAGGCCCACAACATACTTATATAAATATTAGGAATTTATTTAGCTATTTTGTATAACAAAACTAGGTGTGGTTTTCGTTATACAAATGTAGAATTAGTTTTTCTCTTTAAACCTTTATTCCTTGGTTTGAATTTTAATTATTTCATGGTTTATTATTTTATTGGAGTTGTTAAGCATATCATAACTCAAATGGAAATCCAAATCACATTTTGAATTAACAATGTATGCAATACTTTATTTGTTAGAATTTAAATAAACACAATTAACTAATGACATGCCATGCTTATGTGTTAACTTGGGTTGGGGTTAGGCCTAATGCATTTCTTAGGTTGGTTTTCTATACATGACACTCATCATCACATGGAAGTTCTAAGAAAAATTTTGTAGTTGGTATTTTTGGTGTGTGGATTTTTGGGTTGTTACACTACTAGCACTTGCAATTGAGCTATCTATTCTCTCAAGATAGCACCAGAGAGAAGCAAACAGGGAAGTAGACTGCAGCTAGTACACTTGCTGTGGAAATGGGCTGCTGCCGGAGTTGGTGATGACACAGCTTCACTGCAGCAATGTGTGAATGAGAGTTGAGAAGTGACTGCAGTTCCATGCTCCGCAGTGTGTGTGCACAGGGTGACCGGTGACGGCACATGGATGAAGCAGTTTAGCCCCACTTCGCGTGCGGTGGTCAGGCCCCGAGGGACATGGATGAAGTGGGCTTGTGCTCTAATGTTCCTTGATGCGCCTTTCACCATTGGAGGGAGG